GGACCCTGGATGGTGGAGGTTGACCGAGCAGAGCTCCAGAGAACACTGCTGGACTGCGATACACCTTCCCCAGACCCCGCGACCTACCTATCCCTTCATTTGTAAATCTTCCTTTTAACTATGTGGAATGGCCTTAATAATTTCACCAATCGAGTCAGGGCTTAAGTTAGCTACCCACTAACAGCCAGCGATTAAATCAACCATACTACTCAGTGAAGCTTCCAGAAACCTCACCCCCTCCAAAAACTGCTTGAGGGAACACAGGTTCCTGGAGTGTGGTCCATCAAGACAGACTTTGTCCTATGCATCTATATGCTTTGTAATTTCCTTACATCCTAATTGTTTCTCCAAGTTCCACGAGTCACTCTAGCAAATTAGTTGGCCCAATGAAGAGAATGTAGAAATATTTTAGTGTTGGTGGGAAGTACTAGGAAAAAAACCAGAGACCTGAGACTGGTATTGGAAGTGGTAAACAAATCTGTGGGCACAACCTGTGAGATGGGATGCTATCCCCAGGTAGGCAGTACTGGAACTGGGTATCAAAATGAATTCAACTAGAGCAGCGGTTCTCAACCTGTGAGTCTCCTTCATAACAGTAGCAAAATCAGTTACAAAGTAACAATGAAAATAATTTTATTGTTGGGAGTCACCACATGTGGAACTGTATTAAAGGGTCTTAGCATTAGGAAGGTTGAGAACCACTAAACTAGAGGAAACCCAGATATTATCTTATACAGAAAAGACCGGCCACTTGGCATACAAAAAGAACAAATCTCTACACAAACTGGTGTTATGTGACCTTTGTTTTGAGAATTTAAGAAAAACAGTTTGTTAGTCCTACGTTGTCAGAACCAGAAATTTGAGGGAAATTAAGAAGAAAACTAAACAATTTACAAGAAAACCCAAACAACAAAATAAACCCCTCTCCAACAAAACAAAAACCTCTATTCACACAATTCTGGAGACAGGAAAGGCTATATAAAGACGCCAGTCCTGCATCATGTACAGGGGGATCACATGGCAAAATCAAAAGAGGGAAACAACCAAGAGTTTAAAAAGGCATAGGTATTTTAAAAGTCAATCCAGTAATGAGGTTTTTTTTTTTCCTTTTTCTTTTTTGCATGTGTGTGTGTGTGTACACTCTGGGGATTGAGACAGGGACACCAAGTTGACTTCTAACTCACAAATGTCCTGTCACAGCTTCCCAAGTCCTGAGATTACAGACCTTTAACAACACATCCAGCTAAGAACAGAAGCTTCATGGTTAGTTAATTCTTAGTATTAATATTTTGTGCTGTAGTATCTAGCTGTTGGCCTGAACACTGATCTAGATCAGTTGAAAGACTTTAAGACTTACGTTTTTGGAAAAAATTCAAAATTCAATCTCAAGACTGTATCAGAAACCCCAAATTTCCAGCCTAGAATTTAGATAAAAAACCAAACCAAACCAAACCAAACCAAACAAAAACCCAACAGCTAACTCAATTTCTTGTTGGCTGATCCTCAGCTTCTCAAAATTCATCTTTAACTGACAAGTAATTATATTTAGTGGTACAGTAAATGATTCTAATTTAGCCTTGTCTCAGCACATACTTCAACTGTATACTTAGCATTATAATAACCAGGCAAGGCTTATTCAACCATCAATCTTGATTTTTCTGTGTTTTTAGAGACAGGGTTTCTCTGTGACCCTGGCTGTCCTGGAACTCATTATGTAGACAAAGCTGGCCTCAAACTCAGAGATCCACCTGTCTCTGTCTCCCAAGTGCTGGGATTAAAGGTGTGCACCTTTACTGCCCAGCCAATTTCCAATTTTTAATACCACATCCCAAATGCCTTAAGAGTATAGCCATGAATAAAATCTCCCGAGATGTCTCTGAAGGCCTGCAGTCCCATGCAGTCCCAGGTCACCCCGCCCCCAGGCCTGAAGCTCCTGTTGTTGCTGTCTCTCCTATGTTCCTTACTATGCTACCCTTGTGTGGGGCCTGCGCCTATGCCACTACTCTCTAGGGTCTGGGAGTACTAAAAACTCCCCCAAAGTGTGCTTTCATGTAGTAACACCTAGGAAAAAGCAAATCCACCCTGCAAGAAACACATGCAGGTGGATCCTTGGTTGCTGCTCTTTTGTTCCAGTCTTTGGTGATTGCCAGCTAAGCTGGAGAAATTTGGAAGTTACAGTCAGAGCATGCACAAAATGTTTGGTGTTTATATTATAAAGCTTCAATTAAGCTAATTAACATAATTGCCAGTTAAGTAATTTACCATTTTTGTATGAGCACTAAAAATGACTTTAACAATCTTGAAATGTCTATTACATTATTACTTACTGTGCTCAAGTGCAATACAATAAAGCACTGAAATGTACTCCTGGAGTCTAAGCAAAACTTGTACCCTATCATCAACAGACCTCCTTCCCCCAACCTCTTAGTCTCTAGTAACCACTCTGCTATTTGTATAACAGAATAATTTACAACTCATGTAACATTAAAGTAATACACCATCATTTGTTTCTCTATCTGGTTAATTTCACGTAATGTTCTCTACTTCCATCTGTAAATGACAGTTTCTTTTTTGCTAAAGAATATGGGGTATTAAGTTATGTAATATACATTTACTTTTTGTTGTTCTTGTTTGCTGGAGAGAAAGCTTTACTTTGGAGCTCAGGCTGGCATGGAATTTGTGGCAATCCTTCTAAGCCATCTGAGGGCTGGGATTTACAAGTATGAGCCATATGCCCATCTATAAACACTAAACAATAAATAAATACTGATAAACTCATAATGAAATTATCAACTCAAATGTATAACTAGTATCAAAAGGAATTGTTAAGTGTTAGTGATAACTAGAAAAAGAACACCAAACTATTGATGGATATAAATTAGCAACCTAATTTGAAAAAATGGTAAGGAGGTTCCTCAAAAAACTAAAAACAGAAACAGTTCAACCAAGAAACAATAAATTGTTGCACTCTAATTCACCAAATTTGGGGGAATGAACTGGTGACTTCTTTGTCAAGTTCTCTTTCTGATTCTTAGAACAGAAAGTAATATTGCAAATACCAGTTAGATGTACTATATTCAAGCAAGACATGATTATTTTTGTCTAGCAAGGTTATTGTTACTACATGAAACCAAAAGATAACACAATAAAGAAAACAAGGCTTAGAAAGTGTTATAGAAGCAAAGTTATAAACAGAATCAACAAATAAACAGCTGGGGACAAGCTGAGAGTTTATGATTAATGAAGCTAGCAGGTGAGTGGAAGACAAGAGTTTCCTCTTTCAAACTGCACTAACATTAGACTAATGAAGACATGAAGGAGATGGGAGTTTGAAATTATCTAGACCCAGAATCAAGTTTTCATCTTTCCCTAGCTGCCCAGTTACCCATCATGCTAGCACTTACAGATTAAAATACTCAAGCACAAATCATTTCCAGAGTAGTTCAAAAATTTTCCTCAAGAAAATCTATTTTCTGCTCTGATGAAAGCAATTGCCTTTAAAAATTTCTTTTAATAAGTACTCTAGTACTCATTACCTATCTATACCTCCCCATATAGTAAGAGCTCCAAAGTGATTTCTGAATAAGGAACACAGACAGACCTTCCACATTTGGCAGATATAATAACACTTTCCAACAAGAACCTTGCTAGACAAAAACAATCATCTCTTCTTCCTGTATTTGAGATATTAGCTTTACAGTCCAAGAATTAGAAAAAGAAATTCGAGGAAAGAACTTGACAAAGATATCACCAATTCAAGTTACTGGTTCCTAATCACACTGCCATTCTTTCAAATTGCATAAAAATCCAATTTTTAAACGTGACTTAAACATCTGCAAAGCATACTTTATAAAGAACAGAAAACTTTTCACTGAAGTTACAGATATATAAAATGTCATTTATATATATTTACAGGCACATACATCACACACACACACACACACACACACACACACACACACACACACAAAGCGTACACACGCTACTAGTAAGCTAAAGCAGGAAGATTCTGAGTTAGCTTGGGCAACACATTGGGGTTGTGTCTCCACCAAAATTAAAGATAAAATAGCAATGCATAATTGAACCTTAAAAACTTACTAGTTAATTCTACAATTAAGTTAACTCCAGCAGTTGAAAACTGTCCATGTTAGATGAGACCAAGAGTACAAACAAGAAATGAAATACAATTAAGGAGTGTTATTTGGCCCAGCTTAAAATTTAATTTTGGCCGGGCGGTGGTGGTGCACGCCTTTAATCCCAGCACTCGGGAGGCAGAGCCAGGCGGATCTCTGTGAGTTCGAGGCCAGCCCGGGCTACCAAGTGAGTTCCAGGAAAGGCGCAAAGCTACACAGAGAAACCCTGTCTCGAAAAACCAAAAAAAAAAAAAAAAAATTTAATTTCAAAGATCACAACTAAGGACTAGAAAAAGAAAAAAAATACAATTGGTGTAACATGATGGAGGCATTTTAAATAACTCAAAGCAAAGCCAGAATGAAGTCTCATATTTAAAAGTGAACATGAGCTTCCTTTTATAATCTAGATAAGCAGAAAACTACATTCAACATCAACAAGTTATATTTTATTTGCTAAACTGTAAATAGAAATGACTTAATGATTTGTTCAATTATTCACCAAGGTAAAAATCTTAGCAAACTTTCCACATTCTTCAAACTGTGAGTCCACCAGCTATCAAGATTTGCCTACACTTTACTATTGTTACACATAATTTTTGTTACTTTTTAAAAAATGGCTAGTTTTAAAAATTGGAGTGGCTTTTAAATTATAACCCATTATTGAGTCTCTAAATTCAAAGACACTGTATTTTTAAAATCGGCTTTCTGTGTCATCAAAACAGATTCTAACTCTTCCAGTAGGCCTACTGCAAAAAGTCACCTTTGAATGGAAAGCACTGAATAATCAGGCTGAAGTGTAGTGCCTTTTCTATTAGACTACAAGACAATCAGAGCTTCCTATATGTGAAGAGGAAGAAGGAACCTTACCTTTATCAGTTGCTATTTTTTCTACGCACCTAAAAGAAATTAAGAGTCAAATGTTAAATAAGTACTTTTTTGTGCATTTCCTTAAAACACAAAAGTATTTATTTTAGATTCATCTCTACAATAGTACAGAAAGATGTTGTTCAAAGCAAATCCTAATTATCAGCAGTGGTAGAAATACCCTATCTAAAATATACTATAGCAACTGTAAACAAGTTTTTAAAATATTGATTAATGTAAACTTAAAGAGTGGCTACCATAGTCAACAGCACAGAAATAGTAGCTTTTAATCACAAAATACCCCAAAGAAAATGTTGCTAATTTTATTAAAAATGGTTATGCAAGAAAATGAAAGTCCTTATTTTATATATGTACAGTAATTAAGACTGACATGACAACATCTAAGATGTGCTCTAAAACACCTCTGTCTAAAAGAGGAGGTAGGGAAGCAGGTGTAGCAAGGATGGTAAAAGATGTCAGTAACTCATCTCACTGACAAATATGGATGTTTTGTTACACTACTTCCTCTACTTTGTATTTATTGAACATTAAATTATTAACAAAATTTAATGAACTTTAAGAGTCCCTATAATTGATCACTAAATCCAATAAAAATTTCTAGAAAGGCAATATATGCACAACTCAGATAAATATTACTTATACTTTATAAATTAAATGCAAGTAAAAAGGTCAAATAGTTATAAGCCTACTGACTTAAATTACAAAGTGATCCCTATGACTTTAATTTGGGATAGCAAATGTAACTGAAAAGACAGTATTGTCAATTTCATAAACCTTCTCCAAACTCAGAAGTAAATTGGCTTCCTATTTCTGTTATAAAGGTACTACATAGTATCTAGCAGCATAAAGATTGCAAATAAACTCAATGTAATTAAAAGATGTTTTGTGAAAGAACAGCTGTCACTGTGCCTAATTTTTAAAAGCTTAGTACTACTAGCTCTGCCACAAACTTCACAATTAACAATTGTGGACAATTGTGGACCACCTTTACTTTAGTAAATGGAGCACTAAAACCATACCTATTGGATGCCTGGGATGTTTTTGAAATAGCTTCTACATTGCCTCTAGGATCCTAACACTCAGGATTCCAATGCTGTGCAACTGAAGCTTTCTAGAAACAAAAAGCTTGTGTTTGTCTGTTCAGAATATTCACCTCATCCATCCTTCTTACTATCCACAACCCTTCAAGCGAACACAGCAAAAATGAAGGTTTATTACTATTTTACTTTTGGCAAAAAAACTCCACAAAGAACTCTGAACTCCATATACTGGAGAGTAAAACAACACTCTTCTTCATGTGTCACTCATCTGAACCTAAAGAAGACTTCCAAAACCATTCAAGGCTTAGTTTAAGAAGGCTATGCAAGAGCTATATTTTAAGTTTAACTCTTATTTGTTAAAGAGTTTTAAAATCTGGAATATACAGATATCCAATTTTATACTATAGAATAAAGGTATTTTGCCTCCTACCCTCGTCTTAATTTGATTCCACTGTTTGCACATGGATATTTTAATTTATTAAAAGCAGAAAAGCCAGGCAGGGTTTTAATCAAAGTACTTGGGAGTCAGAAGACAACAGAGACATCTGTCAGTTGGAGACACAGTATGGTGTATATACATACATACAAAGTTTCAGATAAGGGCTACATAGTGAGATCCTGTCTTCAAAGAAAGAAAGAAACCAGAAAACTCTAAAAGTGACCAAACACACCAAAAAAGAAAAACAAAGCAAAACACATAAGAAACAATAAACCAAAGGAAAAAAATTATATCCTTAACTTTCAAATTATACCACATGCTTCTTGAAGTACATCCACATTTGAAATGAGAATCTTAACTAAAATACAGGAAATAATGAGCTTACTTCTTAAATAACATGAACACAAATTTGTACAAATTGAATCTAAATTCCTAACTACAAGCTATTTAGGTTGTGTAAAATGAGTCTTAGTATTTAACTTTATGCCTTCCTCCTGAACATAGTCACTGAAATTTACTTTCCTGCATTCATATTTTGTATTATTTTAATTCTCAAAAACTTCAATGTGAATTAAGTCGTTATACAGTTACACTTATGAAAGTATAACCTGTTATTCAGCTGTAAAGCTCCTGTCACAAACTCAAAATATCCACAACAGAGGAAATAGCTCTCCAGATGCTGGTGACTTGCTCAAGGTCACTTAGCCAGAGAGCAGTAAAAGCTGAGACATCAAATTTTTCAGCCTGAATATCAAGTTGAAGCTTTTTCCACTATATAATTTAGTAACATAGGTTTCAGTTGATCCAAATCTATGTTTTCAATATTTTAAACAACTTTGTACATACTGCTATTTCTTTAATTGAGAGAAACAAATATAGGTTAATAGTTAATTGCATAGGATTTTGTAGGTAAAAAAGCAGGGATAGGGAAAATGGCTGAAAAAGTAACTAGGGAGGGAAAGATCTGAAAAGAACAAATAATTAGTATAGAAATTTAGTTTCTCATCTCCATTTTAAATGTTTTATTTGGAAGAGATTAATCAAGGTCAGAGTTCAGGACACTGACACTCATAACTGCATGTCTTAAAGGATCAAATAGAAAAGTGAGTTTAAAAACTTATTGTCACATCTGTAAACCTTGTACACAAGTTTAATGAGTGCTAATCAACATTCCCTTTCTCAGCACGGTCCTTAAATACAAGACCAGGTCTAAGTTAATATTCTATTGCCTTGAGGATTAACAGTACTAGTCCCAGTTACTTTTCAGGTAACTTTTCAAGAATCCTCTGATTTGTAGGCCACTGAATAAGTAAAATGTGCAATAAAAATGAAAATTCATTTTAAGAATGATAAAATTTGATCTTAAATACATGACCAAGGGATAAGTCTGAAGGCCAAAGGTAAAGATCACTGTAACTATTTATAGTACTAGATGAGAAGGAACATTAAGATTGCTTCTTCCCCTCCATAACAAATATTGTGATCAAAAAACAGGCAAGCAAGCAATCATATTCATCCAAGATCAACTGTTTCCACAATTATATTGTGGGATTCAAAATGTCCATCAGTAGTACTTCCTATCATGTGGGGAAAAGTAAAATATTATTATTCTATACATAGTTTTACTTGATTCAGATGTACTTAACTCTCAAGTGGCAGGTAAGAAATTTTAAAATACTTGTTTATGTAAGGTAATACAAAACCGTACAACTTTACAAAACTAACACAAAAACATCACTACAAAGTACTCCTGTCTCTGATAGGCCACCACTACTCAAAATAGCAAACTGAATTTAGTATTTTACTGTGTGAAACATATTTAATACACACAAACTCAAGTCACAGAGGTAAGCCCCGCCCCCAACTGTGCACATATGAAGAAACCCAGGTATACATAGGTTAAAGAATTTGCCTACAGAATTTATGCTCAATTAAGATTAATGATTTACATATTTTCAAGTTTTTGAGTTAAACATATAAGAGTTTAGGATTTCTGAAGCATGTACATACAGCAGTGACAAGTCTCAATTCAGCTTAAGAATTTGTAATCACTAATTTTGAAACAAGCTTGTTTTTAAGCTTTAAAAATGTCCTAGGTCTAAGGTAAGAAAGTCCTTGTACTGCTACTGGAAGGTTATCTGAAACTGAAATCCCTGCTCTTCGATTTTCTCTGCCCCCTTTCCCACTTGTAAATCAAATGACATAAAATTCTCAACAATGAATAAGCTAATTTGATTAAAATGTGTAACTTTATAAACTCATGTACTTAATTATTCTTAAGTATTACTTTAATGAGCAATTTAAAATATTTACGCTCCTGGCCATCTGTTAAGGGCCTCTATTAGTTCAAAGTAGCAATTCAGATCAATCTAATTTAAGAATGAAGTATCTACGTCAAAATCTACGCATAAAGAAAAAGTACATAAAAGAACTACACATCTAGTTTGGGTATATAAAACAAATTGCCACAGCCACGTTTTCATCCAGACGGTAAAAAGGAACCTGACGATCTAGGAGGGCGAGAAAGGCTCCTTTTAAGTGGCTCGCAAGCTACTTAATAGGGTCGGGCAAAAACACTCTTCAGGGCTAGTACCGCGCTGCTGCTTTCCTCACGGGAATGTGATGTAAAACTGGATGCGATAGGCTGACAAAGGGGGCGCAGAAGCCAGAGGACCGAGCAGGCGGGAAGCAGAGGGTACGCAGCCTGCACAGGGCGACTTAGGCGTGGGCTGGCGGCCACAGGCTGCGGCGCAGCAGGAGCCCGGCCGCTAGCGGCGTGACATCTGGCGTGCCGAACCGGCAGGGGGCAGAGCAAGCGGGGTGTCACGTGGAGCGGGTGCTACGGGAGCCGGGAGGGTAGTGCGGATCAGAGGGGGGTCTTCCCCAAAGCCTCAAAGACTGTGTTACTCACTGGAGTCGCGGACTCTTCTTGCCCTGAGCAGGAGACGGGGGCTTCGCGGCCGCGAGCTGCTGCCCGGGGGCGTCGGGAGGCCTGTGGCTGGGGCTGCTCCTCCGCCGGCGGGGATACTCGGCCTTCCTCCGGCGGGACACAGCGGCGGCGGCGGCGGCCGCAGCG